TAATGTAAAAAACTTAAAATAATCGACATAAATTATTTTTTTTGTACTAGTGAATGAATATAGATAAAGACATAGTTAAAAAACGTATTAATTAATAACTTAATTAAAAAAATATTATGTATGCAAAGACTTTGACTTATGTTGAGAAGCATGATACAACACAATAAGTCAATAATAATGGGAAGATAGAAGCTCAGATAATTAGAAAATCAATGTGTATTTATCAATAGAATGAGGCATGTGTATTATTATTATCAGGCCACAACACGTGTTATTCAAAGAATGAACAACTAGCTAGAAGAAACGTATTACCAATTATTCACATTTACTTTTGTGATGGACAAAATATATACAAAGAAGAAACTAGGAACCGCATCTGCCAAGTACAATGCATCGTATATGATGCCAAATAATCTTAAATGTGAAGTAATAATGATCAACAATGTCAATTCAGGCAAAACTTTAACTACTAAAAAAGCCTAACAAATGCTCAATGTATATCATTGGAAATAATTGAAAGAGAAACTTTACCACTCAAATACAAGTCAATGCTTAATTTATAAGCAAAATAGCAAAATATTTTAAAATTTTGTTACACGAGTTTGTAAAATATTTTTATATATATATATATATATATATATATATTAAATACCTGAATCATGTAGCGCTAAATCTTAAATCCAAAACTTAAGAAAATAGCTCAAGGATTAAAGAATCTAAGTAATATCTCAAATAGCTGTTAAAAAATATAATATCATAATATATTTTTAACTTCCTAATATGATATTAACTATGATTTGTTTTTTAGAAGAAAAAAAAACTATTGTTTCTCTCTCATTTATGATTAGTGTGTGTATATTTAAGCAATTACTAGTACAAAATATGAAATTTATATTACTGTATTCTCGTCGAACAAAGAAAAATTCGACGTTAAAAAATTGCGATGACATTTTTGCAATTATAATCAAGTTTTTTACGCCGGATCTCATAGGAGTCGACGTGAATTTGAAAATCTATGTCGGATATAACTTGTGTCCGACGTAGATTTTCCAATTTACGTCGGCCCCTATGAGATCCGATGTAAAATATTTATAAATTTCAAATTTTTTCGTGTGCGCGTCAATATTTAAACAACAAAACTTTGAGATTATGTGCAAATCGATTCTTCTGAGTTAACATTTTCGTTTGAGTGTATTGCATTTGAGTGTACGTTTGGGCGTTTGAGTGGTTCTTGAGTTTTTGACCGATTGCATTGGGATCGCGTTTGAGGTTAGTTTAGAAAATCATTTCTTAATATATTAACTAATTTGTTGAAAATAAATGTATGTATTGATCTATTAATATATTAGTTAATATTATCCTCTTCTTCGCGTTTGGGTGGATCATCCTTTGTTAATATATTAGTTAATATCAAGTAGAAAATTCTTCGCATTTAGGTGGATCTCCAAGCAGAACGACCTGTTCTCCAAGCAGAACAGTCCATTCTGCTTGCACTCATTATGTTTTTTTTTTGTTTACAACTCGGCTCTTATGAATGTTCGCGACCTCATCACGTCACTTCAGCCGCCTTGGCCAGTCTCAGACAAAACGACGACGAACCACTCCAGACATTCATGGAACGGTTCGCTGCCACCTTGATCAAGATCAGGAACTTGAATCCCGAGGTCGCCCTACATGCCATGCTCATGGCACTCAAACCTGGGCCATTTATCGACAGCCTGTGTCGTGAATCCCCCCGCGACATGGATGAACTCCGCGCCCGCGCTGCAGGTTACATCCAGATGGAGGAACACTCCGCCTTCCGTGACCAGGTCCGCGAGAAAGGACCAGCAAAGCCAGAGCAGGGGCACAACGACAAGGTCAAAGTCAACAATGACAGCCAGTTCAAAAGGTTGGCTAATGCAAACAGAGGGGGAAGATACGACTTCTACACTCCCATGAACGCACCTAGAGTCCACATCCTGGAAGAAGCCAGCAACAACAACTTACTCGCCCTTCCACCACCAGGTCACACTCCCAACAGCGCCGACAAGTCCAAGCACTGTCAGTACCACAGAAACCACGGTCACACCACGGAGGAGTGTCGCACGCTTCGGGACCGCATCGAAGAGCTCATCCAGGCAGGCCACCTCGGCCAGTACATCTAGCGACAACAGGGTCACCGAGGCGGCTATGGTGGTCGGGGGGCGTGGCAGAGGACGAGGCTCGGGAACTCGCACAGACCAACCCTCTGGGTCCCAACAAAATACCGGCAGTGCAGTGCAGGCCGAGGTAAGCCAGGAGACAGGGACAGCCCTCTTACGGGGAGTGATTAACACAATTGCAGGTGGTTTCGCTGGGGGAGGCGCCAGCAGCTCGGCCCGAAAAAGGCACCTGCGGAACGTCAACTGCATCCACTCTACCACCTCAGCCTCGCACCAAAGCTCACCACCGATCTCTTTCTCCGACGAGGACTACGCGGGTGTCAGCCCTAACCAAGACGATCCCATGGTTATCATGGTGGAGGTTGCTAACTGGGAGGTACAGAAGACACTCATTGACCAAGGAAGTTCGGCCGACGTCCTGTACTGGCCAACGTTCCTTAAGCTAGATGTCCCCCATTCCCTCATCCAGCCGCACATGGAGCCCTTAGTTGGCTTCGCAGGAGAATCATGGTTCGATACCTTCTCGTGGAGGCCAACACCTCCTATAACATCATCATCGGGAGGCCAACCTTGAATCAGCTCGGAGCGGTGGTGTCCACCCCACACCTCACCATGAAGTTCCCAGGGAATGACGGCAAGATCATCTCCGTCAAGGCAAATCAGAAGACAGCTCGGCAGTGTTACGCCGAAAGTCTGAAGATCTCCTCATCCGGAGTAAGGGGGGTCCCCCCACCATAGTTCATTAGGTTCTATTTCTCCTTTCTGTATGAACAAAGTTGTGCACTCTTTTCCTGCCTCAGTCTTTGACCGAGAGGGTTTTTAACGAGGCACACAAAAGCGATTAATAAAATCACTCATTTTGCTGAATCCATTTCCCTATTTATTGTTTTTATAAAAAACAAAATCGAACCGATCTCTTTCACCCTCACTAAGGTCGAGTACGAACCTTAATACCCCAAACTGAGGTCTAGTCCGAACCTCGTCACAAATTCGAGGTCGAATACGAACCTCAACACCCCAAACCGAGGTCGAGCTCGAACCTCGGCAAAATCCTAAGGTCGAGTACGAACCTTAACATTCTTATCCCAGGTCCAGTTCGAACCTCATGAAACACATGTCACTCTAAACCAAAACGAGGTCGAGTACGAACCTCGGCAAAATTCGTTTTAAACCAAAACGAGGTCGAGTACGAACCTCGGCAAAATTCGCTTTAAACCAAAACGAGGTCGAGTAAGATCCTCGGCAAAATTCGTTTTGCGCCAAAACGAGGTTGAGTACGAACCTCGACAAAATTCATTTTAAACCAAAACGAGGTCGAGTACGAACCTCGGCAAAATTCGTTTTAAACCAAAACGAGGTCGAGTACGAACCTCGGCAAAATTCGTTTTGCGCCAAAACGAGGTCGAGTACGAACCTCGGCAAAATTCGTTTTAAACCAAAACGAGGTCGAGTACGAAACTCGGCAAAATTCGTCTTGCGCCAAAACGAGGTCGAGTACGAAACGCGGCAAAATTCGTCTTACGCCAAACCTCGACAAAACTCGTTTTGTTCCAGATTAAGGACGAATACGAACCCCAACACGTTTTGCACAAATTCGAGGTCGAATGCGAACCCTAATACGTCAGTTTGAGATCGAATTCGAACCTCAGCGCTAATAAATTAAGGTCGAATTCGAACCTTCACGGAAACACTCACTTAACGAAAAACCAAGGGCGAATTCGAACCTTGACTTGGCCAACACAAGACAAAGGCATCACAACATACAAAAGCCTTCAACAGACATCAAACGTGTGCCTCATAATGCGCAAACAACAAAAATCAAAAGCAAACGTAGGCAAACAACAAAAATATATATATATATACAAAGCCATGTCCGATACATGAATCCAACAAAACAAAAGAAAAAGACAGAAGAAAAGAAAAATACAACAGAAAACATTAACTGGCCTAGGCTGAGGCATTGTCATCGACATCGTCCTCCTTAACCAGCCTCCCAAAGCGGACAACCTTCTCCACATGCATGGAGGAAAAGTCGAACCCGGGAGCAGGGAGCCGTGCCTGACGAGCAGCCTTTTGGAAGCCCCTCTTGTGCTCCATCACAACGGAGCGTTCGATCTCCGCGAGCCTCCCCTCCACGGCCGCCTTCCCCGCCGCCAGCTCCGCGAGCTCCGCCTTCAAGGTGGCAATCTCGTCCTCCCGGCCACCAAGAATGCCCTCGCTACGGAGGCGCTCCCCAGCCGCCGCCGCCAACTCTCCCTTAAGAGAGGTCACAACGTCCTCCAGAGCCCGCACTTGGCTACGAGAAGACGTCACCTCATCCTCCTAAGAGCGGGCGCGACCCCGAGAGAAGGCAACGAGCTCTTGCAACTCCCCCACCTGGGAAGCATAAGCCTCGTTGGATCATAAGGCGATCTCAAGAGACTTCTGCACCCTTGCAAGATCGCCCCGCACAGACCGAAGCTCCGCCTCCTGCCGCTTCGCCTCACCAACAGTAACACTGAGAGCCTTGTTCTCCTCCCTCAGGATCTTATTTGCATCCTTCCAGGGTTGAAGTCGGCCCCTCAGCTTGGCCATCTCCTCTTGCTGCTTGGCCAGGTCCTCCTGCTGCTTGGCCCACCTCGGCTTCCAGTGGCCTAGAATGCCCATAGCCCTCTGCAGCAGGACCTGAGCAGCATCGAAACTATCCTCGGGGCCGACCTCCTCTATCAGCCCCTGGTCCTCGGAGCTCAACGAACCCTGAGGGAAGAACTTCTCAGCGGTCACCCCCGAGCTCCACAGCGAGTCCATGTCGGCTGAGGCGCTCACGTGGTCTAGCCGCACCTTTGAAAGGCCCTTCCCGAAGCGATGGGCCAAGTATCAGCTCCGGGAAGCCCCCTGTGACGAGCCAGACGGCGGCGCAGAAGCTGCAGCGGTGGACGGGGGAGCCTCACGATTAGGGCCCCCTAAACGAGCCTCAACAGAGGCGGAAGCCGGCGTCTCCTGCTCGGTATTTGGAAGGTCCGCAATAGGAACCTCTGCAATAGGAACCTCCGACCTCGCCTGCGAAAACCAGCCCCATGTCAAAAAATAAATAAGATGACATACAGGAAACCACGAAAGTCAGGAAATCCTACTTACCTCAGCAGCAAGAACAACCTGCTTGGTGGCCGGAACCGCCACCTCGGCAGCCTGGGCAACCCGCCCAGCAGCCTGCGTCGCCGCCGCGGCGGCATCTCCCGCCTGCGGAAGACGGCCCCAGGTCAGAATACAGAAAAACAATAGATATTAAAAAAGCAAAAGTAACAAGGAACTCACCACCTCGGCAGCCTGGGCGACCTGCTCGGCGGCCAGAATCGCCACCTCGGCAGCCCGAACCACCTCTTCAAAAGCCACTTGAGGAGCCTCCTTGGGCGGTGGACTCTCGGTAAGGTCCACCGCACTTGCATCAGCAGCCGTGGAGGTCACCTCCTTGGCGTCCGGAGGGGCAGAGGTCCCCCCGACCTCCTTCGCTCCCCTTTTCCTCTTCCGGCTTTTCAAAGGGGGAGCATCCTCCTCTTGAGGCTCGGGGACCTCGAGCTCGGTGACATTATAGCGATGCTTGAGCTCGCGCCACAAATTCTTCCTTATGATACCTACAGACAAGAAGCAAGGCACATCAGCCAAAGAAAGCTACACAAACCCCAAGCCTCAAAAAAAAAAAGTACTCACTCTCCAAGCCCCTCTCCCTGTATGCCGAGTTCGCAAGCGACAGAACGAGCTTGCAATCCAGCGGGCGAGGAAGTGCGGCGAGGTTGTCGATCTTGGCCACCTCCGAGGCCGTCAGCTTCACCTGGCCTACCCCATGAAACCTAGACGGTCGGGGGCACCAGTAGAAGGGAAATTTCGGCAGCCCGCTGAAATAAAACGCCCCATCCTCCAAAGGGTCAACATTCACAAGAGCGACCCGGAAAAACTCTTGCTTGAAATTTTTATATGACTGGGAGTAGAGGGTAAACAAACCCCCATCCCTAGTCCCACTCTAGGACAGTATGCCATATGGCGGAACGCCTAACTTCAACTGATAAAATTGAAGAAAGATGGGAAGGGACACCTCTATCCCTAAAACTGTACACAAGACTTGAAAAGCCCTAAAAAAAACCCAACTATTGGGGTGCAACTGGCAAGGAGCCGCGTTGACGTGGTTCAAAAAATCATACTCAAACTGAGTGAAAGGAAGACAGACACCTAAATCCCTAAAGAAACAATAGTACATATAGAAATGAGGAGAGTCGGTAGACTTCCCCATGTACACACCCTCACCAGCCTGACAGGGTTCAAGCTGGATCATTCGAGAAATAGAAGAGTCGCAAACCCTACAC